GGGGGGGTAGAAGTTGGAGGAGGAGACAATGAGTTGGACCCGCCGTGGGAACGGTGCCAGGCAGGCCTGCGGGCCCTGCGGGGCGGGGGGCTGTTATTCTGAGGCCGGCGGAGGAACACTCACATCGAGACACATTGTATTGGAATGCAATAGTTTATCGGGCTGGCTCCGCCGTGGCTCCGCCGCCGCCGCGCCGCGCGCAGGGCGGAACTAGGGGGCTAGAAAGGAGCGCGAGTCTCTCCAGGAGCGGGTCAGGGGGAGAGAGGCTCCTGGAGCAGGGGAGGGGGCGGCAAGCCTGCGGCCCGGGGCTCCCGGTAGGACCTATCTTATTCCTCTCCAAACGACAGCAACTCCAGGGACTCCTGGAACTGGAGGGCAGCGGGGGAGCACATACCTTAAGCGACACCGGTAGGTAGGACATTTCCTCCCAATGCGCCAGCAACAACGGGCAGCAGGGGGGGGGGCAGAGATCCTCCTGGAGCTGGAGAGGAGCTAGCCTGCAGCAGGACACCGGTGGAACCTCTGCTCTTCGGCTCCAGCACCTCCAGCGGGCGGAGTGGAACCTTGCTGTGCCCCGGGGCGATTCGTATTGCAGCGGCCAACTCGACCCCGCCGCGCCCCGCCCTGCCCCGCCCTGCCCCGCCCTGCTGCTGCCCGGCCGGGCCGACCCAGCGCCGATAAGCATCGGATTGCACTCTGCTGCGCTACAGTTCAGAAAGAGTTCTCCGGGAAAATAAATGTGGGAATAGGAAGAGGTTGGGGGAAGGGGGGCGAGGCGCGGAGCAGAGCCTTCTGCTGACGCTGTTTGCGTGCGAGTCTCGGCGGCGGCGCCCCGCTCCGCTCTCGAACCTCGAGGATCGGGAGGCGCGGGACTGTTTCGTCCTCCTGGAAACCGCCAACGACCCACAAAACCTGAGAGTAATGTTTCCCTCGCGGAACTCCAATTACTGCGCGGGGAGAGGAAGCCGCCGGTGTGGCAAGAGGCTGGGGAGCAGGCTATAGGCCTTGTGCTCTACGGAATCGCGCGCGCCATGTTTGTCTCATTTCTTCTTTTGCAATTTCACCACTTTCGTTTCGTTTGTTTATCTTTATTTCCGCGTGGTCGTTTTTGTTTGTTTTTATTTTCAACGCTCAGACAACAGGCGCGCGGGCCCCAAGAAGCCCGCAGCAGCAGCAGCAGCAGCAGCCCGGCTCCGCCCGCGCTATTATGTTGAGGTTGCTCTGTGCCGCCCCACCTATAGGGCTCACGTGAAGCTCGCCGGGTGCACGGCACGGCATACGGCCGGGAGAGACACACTGAGCGACGGATGCCGACCCATCCGCCGTGTGTGTGTTCTCGAGGTGGTGTAATGTGCCCTGCCGCTCCCCCGCCCGCGCCCACCCTCGGCCGCGGCCGCACAAACGCTTTGCCGTATGACCGGCATTCACGAGCCCCTCCCCACCACCAGCCAGACCCCCCCACCTTAGGCTCGCCAGGCCTCAGTAAACACGTGTCCTATTTGAAAGGGACTGCTGCAGGACGGGTGACACCACCACGGCCTGGGGGTGGGGAGGAGAGCGAAGGGCCAGTAGTGTGCAGCAAACGTAATACCTCTACCCCCTACCACCCCCCTCCCTTCTCCTTACATTTTGTTCCCCCTACACACGAGCGGCTCACAGGCCCCGTGGGAGAGTGAGGGC